TCTCGGATGAAAAAGTAGGTCACCGGAGCTAAAAATAGAAAAACCTTGTTAACACTCTAGCGGTCACATTTTTGCATCAATCATCATCAAACTTGGTCAAGATGCTTGTCTAGGTGATAGCTCAGATGAGTTCGAACATGGGTTATCTCGGATGAAAAAGTATGTCACTGGAGCTAAAAATAGAAAAACCTTGTTAACACTCTAGCGGTCACATTTTTGCATCAATCATCATCAAACTTGGTCAGGATGCTTATCTAGTTGATAGCTCGGATGAGTTTAAACATGGGTCATCTCGGATGAAAAAGTATGTCACTGGAGCTAAAAATAGAAAAACCTTGTTAACACTCAAGCGGTCACATTTTTGCATCAATCATCATCAAACGTGGTCAAGATGCTTGTCTAGGTGATAGCTCCGATGAGTTTGAACATGGGTCATCTCAGATGAAAAAGTAGGTCACCGGAGCTAAAAATAGAAAAACCTTGTTAACACTCTAGAGGTCACATTTTTGCATCAGTCATCATCAAACTTGGTCAAGATGCTTGTCTAGGTGAACGCTCGGATGAGTTTGAACATGGGTCATCTCGGATAAAGAACTAGGTCACCGGAGCTAAAAATAGAAAAACCATGTTAACACTCTAGAGGTCACAATTTTGACTCAATCATCATCAAACTTGGTCAGGATGTTTGTCTAGGTGATAGCTCGGATGAGTTTGAACATGGGTCATCTCGGATGAAAAAGTAGGTCACCGGAGCTAAAAATTAGAAAAACCTTGTTAACACTCTAGCGGTCACATTTTTGCATCAATCATCATCAAACTTGATCAAGATGCTTGTCTAGGTGATAGCTCGGATGAGTTCGAACATGGGTCATCTCGGATGAAAAACTAGGTCACAGGAGCTAAAAATAGAAAAACCTTGTTAACACTCTAGCGGTCACAATTTTGACTCAATTGTCATCAAACTTGGTCAGGAAACTTGTCTATGTCATTGCTGGGAATAAATCGAACATGGGTCATCTCGGATGAAAAACTAGGTCACAGGAGCTAAAAATAGAAAAATCATGTTAACACTCTAGTGGCTACTGTTGTGATCCAAATATTCTGTTAATTGGTCTGAAAGTTTGTTTTGATGATTTCTAAGTCAAGATCGAACATGGGTCATCTTGGATGAAAAACTAGGTCACACCGTCCAAATATGGTAAAACCTTGTTAACATTCTAGTGGTCACATTTTCGACTCAATTATCATCAAACTTGGTCAGGATGCTTGTCTAGGTAATTGCTTGGATGAGTTCGAAATCGCATGTGAAACTAGGTCACCGGAGCAAAAAATAGAAAAATCTTGTTAACACTCTAGTTGCTACTGTTTTGATCCAAGTATCCTGGAAATTGGTCTGAAAGTTTGTTTTGATGATTTCTAGGTCAAGTTTGAATATGTGTCACCTGGGTAAAAAACTAGGTCGCACTGCTCAAATATGGATAATCCTTGTTAACACTGTAGTGGTCACATTTTTGACTCACCTGTCATGAGACTTGGTCAGAATGCTTGTCTAGGTAATTGTTTGGATGAGTTTGATAAGTCAGGTGAGCGATCTAGGGCCATCATGGCCCTCTTGTTTATATTTTCAGATAACGCTATTAACACGTCATGGCTGGAACAGAAAGATACAGAAACAGGAGAATGCTCATAATTCTCAGCGACCGTTATCGGAGCTGATCAATTTGTAAAACAGACATGTAAAGTGATTTCATCACCTGTTCCTGTGTACCTTGAGTTGAAGCATGTGCTACCACGTTTTTGCAACCGTTGCCGGGGCAAAAACAGTTATAGTAAAGACATTTAGTAGTTTTAACTCGAAACACATAGACATTTCAATAGGTTAAATAATTAAAATGCTTTTATCCAGCCATGGCCGTTTTCACGCCAACACGTTTTTATTAATAAATACTAGTACGTTTTTTAAACTGATTTCTCTTTTCCTTTATTCCCAAGTTGTAATGTTTGAATAATTTACTTTTATTTTATTCATTTTTTTCCTAACTTTTACTATGTTACAATAATGTGCTCTCCTGAATTAATGTCATCAAATTGGATGTTGCAATGTATAAAATTGAAAAATAATACAATTTGATTTGTAAATTGATATATTCTAATAATATAGTTTTACCAATGAGCTCGCATATGACTATGTGCTTATCATATACATACTTTCCCCGGTTAAATTGGAAATTGCACTGGTTTATATGGCAAATTGCCAATCAGAGATCTAAGAAAAAAAGACCCATAAAACCCATATATTGATAAATTTGTCCATTTATCGCGTGTTTCCCTGTCCATTTACCTTGATGTATATCTAGCTATCTGTCCGTCCGTCTCTCTTTGCAAAAATTTAAATATGACAATTTTGATTATAACTAAGTTTTGAGATATAATAATAATAAGTTAAACCTTGAGAGAACATATATCTATTTCTTTGTCTGTCTCTTAGTCCTAATCTTATTCCATGAAAATTATGACCGAAATGAGCAGGTAATTTCTACTGTTTTGAGAGGAGTGTGACAAATTAATATGATTACTTAATAGTTTATTTTGATAAATAACACATGCAGTGGTGATTTTAAATAATTAACTTAAACAATTTCGCGTTTACGCATTCAGGGTCTTTCAAATTTTAAAGATTCGATTCAGACAGAAGAACATTGCATATACAAACATTTAAATTCAACCATCTCTTGTATTTAAGTGTGCTGAAATGCATCGCTTGGATATAATTTTATCTTCCTCGAAAATACTCCTTTTGGGTGCACGGACGTTTACTAGTGTCATTATTACAGCACTGAACTCCTAAATTAGAAGTCGTGAATGCGAAATCTATTGGGAATATTCTCTTTCTATTCTCATAATTAAACGCTTTAATAAACGTGATCACCCGAAAAAGATTATGTTTGTAATAACTTAAAACGGGAAGTACGTTAAACGTGATTTAATATTCATTACATTTATATTTATAACAGATATAAAACAAATATGCGGAACATTTCTATGTAGGGCGATGATCTTTAGCCCTACGCAAAGTCCGCATGCACGAGAAAATACTACATGCGGCAAGGAACCGCGTCGTAAAATGGTCTATTGCCTACTGTTGTTCTGCTTAAGTTAATATATGTCAAAAACAGGTTCCGGTGTTATTTATATAATATCATTTTTATCACGAGGAACTTACCTTCTTTGCGCGTGAAGTGTACCGCAATTAAGCGAATAGAGCTTGACTTAAAAATGATGCATATATGGTGTGTGACGGTGTGTGACATGGCAATTGCCGCAGTGGTATATTCAGCCGCAGCCATAGGGTTAAGATTGTCACTAATTGGAAGCTGATTACGTCAAGAATATTATAAAACAATGATTATATTGAAAGATAATTAATTTATCAAGCATATTTATTATTCAACAATTTGTTTCAAGACTACGATATCGTGGTCACAATATGAATACACTATAAAGTTAAAAAATAGTAAGGCAATCATACAAAACATTTAAAAATAGTTATTTCAAGATTAAAATGGTGCAAAAACAACAAAAAATGCAGACTATTGTGCTGGTGTCACAATGCTTAATTACCACGGATACCCCATAATGATATAGATAATTTCAAATTCTATAGCATAAAATAAACCAAAGACGAGTACTTTATGAATCTCTTAGAAAGGTACTGTAGACAGACCTATAAAGATACTAAAAAACTTCATAACGAATTCATTATCTTAAATAATTGCTTTCCTTGAGAAATATAAAGCTATAACAAATACATCACACACGTCGTGTATATAGAAATTGGAATCGTCAAGATTGCGCATGAAAATCGACTTATTTTTAAAGCTACAGTATTAAATATTAATTTTCTTTACTTGCTGATAACTGATATTTATTCAGATATATTATTTGTGATAATTTCGATACGTATACGTTAACCATTTCCTTTATGATATCAAAGCCTTTATTATACCATAATAGTTTATTCATTGTTACATTTTCAAACTATTTTTGATGAGGTACTTAATGAAAACCGTTAGGTCTACAGACGTTGGCGAGTTTGAACTCTCGATATAATTGGCGATTTGAAACCATTGTTTGGGTCACGATGACGATATGGTTGGCGATTACGAACTCTTGTCAGGCACGATCAAATCAATATCGGGGTAAGATCGAACCATTGGCTGAGCACAATGACGGAATGGTTGACGACCTCAAATGATTTATGTGATTTCTTTAACACACATGTACTAATTTGTTCAGAACAACGCCATTTTCAACATATGTTTCATAAAAAAATGTATGCTATTCCCAAAAATATCATTCTAATCTATTTTTATTTAAATGTAACTCATCTTCGCTATCAGAAAAAATACATACTTCACATTTTTGCTCATTTCCTTAAATTTTTAACCCCATTTAGTCTAGATTCTGTAATATAATATATGAATTTTATTACAACTTAACTAAGGTAGCTTTAGTTTAAACATACTTTATTTCAAACAAGTATACATATTTACAATTTACAAACGAAACTTTACAACGTATGGAATAAAAAAAGGATCGGATCCGAAAGCTGACGAAGGCCTTATCCTATTATTTGTTTGCTAAAGATTGGCCGTGTGTATATGTATGTACATGGATATGTTTAGAAGTACAAATAGCAAACTTTTGTTAAGAAGACATTTTATGCTATATACAAAATATAGTTATGAGCAAGAAGTTTTTTGGTAGAGGGTTTGAAAATTATATGATGTAAAAAACAAACAACAACAAAAACAATAATAACAATAAAAACAACGTAACCTTCAAGAATTAGAAAAAGAGAGGTAAATGAATTTTATGCAGTAAAATATTTTATGGACGAAATGGTCTCTTTTTTAAGTTAGTGATGTACAACAGCCGTTGTCCGTATTCATCTTTATCAGTTGCGCAGCGTGATTTGCCTCCGCGTGCTGTCCCTGCGCATGCGCTCTTATTAGCGTCACTGTTGTAAACAAAAGAATTCATATACTTTTGTCAGCTTTAATTTCACGATTTTCATCGTAGCATTGCTTTTATATCTAAAACAAATTTAATCATATTGCAAAGATTTGTGTTTTCTGACATTTTACTTGATAAAAGTGTGACAGTATTTCCGGATTTCGTCGATTTTGGGATCACAAATAATTTTCTTTGTTCGGCTGAATAGTGACCACGTGGGTGGGGAAATTGATTGATTGCTGCAGCTGAGATTATTTCATACGTTGACGCTCATAAGCAGTTAAGTATTTTCGTTTTTGCTTGTCGTTGCATCTACAGTAATGCTGTTGCGTTTTCAAACTTTTTCTCGGCTGGACTCCGAGCTTTGTGATCACCAAAACATCATTAACAAGGATCCTATACTATATAGTGGTTTTTATTGTTAAATTATATACATGTTAAATACATGGGTGCAAGTTTCAGGCATATGACTGAAGCTCAGGTTTTTTGTGACATATTTCATCATGTTCTACCTTTAGATTATGTAGGAAAATGATAACGAATTGAAGTTTTCAGGTTATTTCAAATTTTTGATTGCACCTATGCATGTATACTGTACGGAATCCATATAATAATATGATTATGGTCGAGTTGTAACATTTCATGTATATATTGGAGACTGTTGACTGCCTGAGGCTTCATTTAGGATGATTTCCAACCCAATATTCCTCTAGTTTGTTATAATAAATATTGTGAAACTTACATATATAACCTCTTGGTTAGTTCTAATCAAAGTTGTGGTGAGCAGATTATTTAAAAAAAAAAAAAAAAAAAAAAAAAAAAAAAAAAGATGCTTTTATTTATAATTTCCAGACTTGAACCTGAGTTTCCGGACTAGTATCCGAGATTTATTTTTAAATATCCAGGCTTGCACCTGAGTTTCCGGACTAGTATCCGAGATTTATTTTTAAATATCCAGGCTTGCACCTGAGTTTCCGGACTGGTATCCGAGTCTTATTTTAAATTTCCAGGCTTGCACCTGAGTTTCCGGACTGGTATCCGAGATTTATTTTTAAATATCCAGGCTTGCACCTGAGTTTCCGGACTGGTATCCGAGATTTATTTTTAATATCCAGGCTTGCACCGGAGTTTCCGGACTAGTATCCGAGATTTATTTTTTAAATATCCAGGCTTGCACCTGAGTTTCCGGACTGGTATCCGAGATTTATTTTAATTTTCCAGGCTTTGGCCTGAATATTTTGGACTTGTATAGATTTATGTTTTATTTTTTAAATTTCATGGCAGGCACCCGAATTTTCGGACTAGTATCCGAGTTATAATTTTTAAATTGACTGTTTATACTTATTAACCAGTCTAGTACGGGAGTGCCTAGTCAAGTGCACAAACATATTTTACAGTCCAAAACACCTGCTATAGAACTATTTGTAAATTTATTAATTCCAGGCTATGTCCTGAGGTTCCGGACAAGTATCCCAGGTTTTATTTCCTATTTATTTTGCTATATTTCCAGATATGCCAGGAAAGAGGAAAGCTGCTTCGTCAACAAAGGCGAAATGTACCGCTTCGTGTTGCGTGGAAGCACCGGTGGCTGGAGGGAGCAGCCCAAACGATGTACACCACATTAACAGAACAAAGCGCCAGGGTATAATTAATAACAATCCTTCTGTTCCTGAAGTTCAACCAGAAATAACGGCATCCCCATCAGATGATTCTGATGATTCCAACCTGAACGATGTCACAGTAAATAATGTTAACTTGACAGAAAAGGAAGACCGGGGGCGTAGGAGAACAAAATCACAGACGAAGACAAACTCTTCTCGTAAAAAGAGGTCCCTTTCTCCAACCAGGCACAGGCACAGTGTGAACACTGACACATCCAGCGGGGAAGATGAAATAACAGACTCTTCTTCATCAGACAGCGATGATAGTCTCTTGGATGGAGTTTTAGCTAAACAGGCTAAAAAACTTAAAGGTGATAAAAGACAGTCGTTTTCCCCTCTTGAATCCCCTATTTCTACTCAAGTTCCCTATAAGCTCCAAAAGAAAATTTGGAGACATAAATTTGTGGATTTTGGGGCCTTACTGCCTATCACTTTTGGTCATGACCAAGAAGAAATGCCATACCAGTTCTCAGTTAACCAAACAAATGGTAATTTCCATCTTGTCCCATCTATAAAAAAACAAAAAATCCACAACATTGAGCAGTGGACCACCGCATTTATGCGTTTTGTGGCAATATATGCCACAAAATACCCTTTAGAAACACCAGCCCTTATGAAATATGGTGAACTGGTAAGGGACCTGGCGTCTAAACATAGTACAAATGCCTGGGCCCGTTACGACTTCCAATTCAGAACCCTTCGGGAACAAGTTCAAATCCCATGGGACCAGTTACACACGGAATACTGGGTCCGAGCGACAACTGTGCCCTCGTCAACAGGTCATCCCTTTCGCCAGTACCGCCACGGTGGCGGCTCGTACAATAATGCATTCCGTTCCTTTCGTAAAAACAAGTCAAACTCATCCGGGGAATTCCTTCCAAACACATGCTGGTCATTTAATAGACGAGGTTTCTGTCCATTGGTCAATTGCTTCCCCCACACATGCGGTTACTGTCGAGGCCAGCACTCCGCTAAATCTTGTCCCATTGGACAAAAGCAAGAGTCAAGCTCCAGTCAGCAGCCCACACAGCCCCAGTCAAACCAAAACATTACCAGAGTTTTCAACAAGTCAAAATAATACAGTCAATACTCCACTTATTACCCCAATTAAACTTGGTCCTTTCTCTTACTGGATCAGGGGTTACCAGTTTGAAAATTACTTGATATCTGGTTTTGAAAAAGGTTTCCATTTAGGTTTTGTAGGTAACAGATGTGCCTACATAACAAAAAACTTAAAATCTTGCTCAGAGTTACCAGAAGTAGTGGTTAGAAAATTACAAAAAGAAATTACATTAGGTAGAGTTGCTGGCCCTTTTGTTCATCCTCCTTTCCCGTCATTTAGGGTTAGTCCAATAGGTGTAGTACCTAAAAAGGAACCAAACACTTTCAGGTTAATTCACCACTTAAGCTATCCATATGGCAATTCCGTTAATGATTTTATAGATCCAAATTTAGCAACAGTTCAATATTCTACCTTTGACCAAGCTATTACAATGGTAAAGCACCTAGGTCCCGGTTGTTTAATGGCAAAAACAGATATAGACTCTGCCTATCGTATCATTCCAGTCCACCCGGATGACTATCCACTCTTAGGTTTTCGTTTCAATAATCTTTTCTATTACGACCGCTCCCTTCCTATGGGGGCTAGCTCATCATGTGCAATATTTGATCGATTTAGTTCAGGTCTTAAATGGATAGCTCAAACAAAACTGTCCATTTCAAACATTCTACATATTTTGGATGATTTTCTTATAATGGGCCCAAAAAACTCCAATAAATGCGAATCTGATTTGAGGGTTTTTCTTGATTTATGTAAAGCTGTGGGAGTACCCATAAAACAGGAGAAAACTGTTTCTGCGACATCAGTCATAGTTTTCATGGGTTTAGAAATTGATTCAATCAAGATGGAGGCTAGGTTACCCAAAGATAACCTTTCAAAACTTCATAAGTTACTAGTTCTTCATAAATCGCGCAGGAAAATTCAATTACGCGATTTACAGTCCCTGATAGGTCTCCTTAATTTTTGCTGCCAAGTAGTGCTGCCAGGAAGAGCTTTTCTAAGGCGTCTTATTGATCTTACTAAAAATATAACAAAACCTCATCATAGAGTTACGTTATCTAAAGAACCTAGGCGGGATTTGGCAGCTTGGCTTTTATTCATTGAACACTTTAATGGCAAACATATTTTACTCGATCAGAAATGGTTAACAAACGAGGCTGTACATTTATTTACAGACTCTTCAGGTTCCTTGGGTTATGGGGCCATTTGGGAGAAACATTGGTTCTATGGCCCGTGGCCTTTACAGATTGTAGACACAAACATTACTTACAAGGAATTGTTTCCAATCACACTAGCAATTGAAATTTGGGGTTGCCAGCTGGCAAATCAATGTATTGTTTTACACTCTGATAATGAGGCTGTAGTCCATATAATAAATAAACAGTCTAGTAAAGAACCAAACATCATGCATTTAATACGGCGTCTAGTTGTTGCTTGTATGAAATATAATATACTGATACGTTCTGAACATGTGCCGGGAAAGCAAAACAATCTAGCAGATATGCTTTCTCGTTTTCAGATACAAGAGTTTCTCAAGACTGCTCCCTATGCAGACAGGGTAGCAACTCAAGTACCAAGTGCTCTTCTCGAACACCTTTAAGACGTATTGTCAGTTCTCTACTTGAGGGTTCTCTGGCTCAAAGCACGAGACGCTCTTATAGCAATGCATATAAACATTTCAGTTCTTTTCATAATAATCATTATGGAAGACATCCACACGGCAGGATTTCTACAAGTAAACTAACTACATATGTAGCATTTTGTCACTCGACAGGTATGAAATATTCAAGCATATGCTCCAGAGTGTCTGCCCTCAATTATATAAATAGATTGCTTGGTGCAAAGTCTTCAAAACACAGTTTCTTAGTACAAAGAGTGCTTTTGGGTTGTAAAAAATTTTCTTCGAATCCTGACAAAAGACAACCCATTACTAAATATCTGTTGAAAAAGCTAGTTTCCATACTACCCAGTTTATTCACGTCTTTATATAATGTTACACTAATTCGGGCTATGTTCACAATGGCTTTTTTCGCATTTCTAAGGGTAGGTGAATTCACAAAGTCTAGTACTGCCAACCATACTATCTCCAACAGCGATATATCTGTTAATACAAAGAATTGCAAACCTGTCAGTATTTCTGTCTCGTTGAGTCATTTTAAACATTCAGTTGCCCCATTCACCATGATTTTACAGCGTTTCAAAAACAAGCGAATATGTCCAGTTCTTGCAATTGACACATTTTCCAGAATGCGTCCAAAAGTTTTGGGTCCATTTTTCCTTAATGAATCGGGAACCCCAGTTACTACGAAACAATTCAATAAGATTTTGAAAAAATGTATTTGTAAGATTGGGTGCGACCCAAAATTTTTATACATCACATAGTTTTCGAATTGGAGCTGCTACGTTCGCCCACAGCAAAAAGTACTCAGATTCTCAAATACGCAAATTAGGCAGGTGGCGGTCTAACGCTTTTCAGTCATATTTGCGCCCTTCTTCCCTGATGTTTTGATTAACGACTGTCTTATTATTACACTTTACTCAGATATAATTATTCTGATAAAGAACATGTGCAGATTTGTTTCATTGACTGACTGAGGCAGCAATGAAGCTAATTTTGATAACGGGTCATACAATAGTCCCAAAGACTTATATTTATAGTGAAATAAACCATACTGGACATTTAGCGAAACTACCTTATTATTGGCACGAAGCTGACTACGTTTTTTATGATATTAAATGGATGAATTGATATTGTTTTTAATATTAAACATTTGATTCTACTGGTTTTAACTGGTTTTCATAGTAGGGAATTGATATATACATGTATTACTGTTTTGAATAGTCTGCAGAAAGCTACTTTTTCCTACCAAGCATTAATTTTGTTGTTGATGTACATCTCTTTATCATGTAATTAGGAAATGTATGTATTTTGTTGTATTTCATTTAACATTTATAGTGAAATCTATTTTATGCTGAAATCCTTATTGAATGAAATTTTGACTGTCTGAGGCGGCAAATTTTTATAATTGGCTATATAGTTTTTACATGTTATTAAGAAATTTATGTATTTTGTTGTATTTCATGAAACATATGTAGTGAAATCTATTTCATGCTGAAATCTTTATTTAATGAAATTTTGACTGTTTGAGGCGGCAAATTTTCATTAATATTATTTTATAATTGGCTATTTAGTTTTTACATGTAATTAAGAAATTTATGTATTTTGTTGTATTTCATGAAACATATACAGTGAAATCTATTTCATGCTGAAATCTTTATTTAATGAAATTTTGACTGTTTGAGGCGGCAAATTTTCATTAATATTATTTTATAATTGACTATTTAGTTTCTACAAAAATTTTGTTATTGTTGTGTCCCATAATTTTATAAACTCATGTCATGCTAACTTGAAGTAGCTCAAATGATATTATTAAGCATGGATGTCAAATATGTCGTATGTACTAGTCAGCACTGTTTTTAAAAAATTTGACATAATTTTTATACAACAATGTATTATTCTCATTATACATGTATATAATTTGGCCCCATGATACTAGATGCTCTTTTGTAAATGAAATTTGCTTCACTCAACAAAATCCAATTGATCTACAGGTTCTAGAATTTGCTTGTCTGGGCGGGTATAAAGTTCTGAATTCTCAGATCTTTATCCTATGGCGTATTTTTATGCCCAGATAAAACATAATAACATTTTATTGTGTACTATTTCTAGTCATAACAAAATCTAAAGGTGCACTGTATAATTTATATACCGGCTTTAATAAAAGCCCAATTACAACTTACTCATTTGTTTGTTTTTATTTATTATGTTTAACAAGCTTCGCAAATTCTAGAACCTCGTTTTATTGGACCACTTGCTGGCCATAAATGAATTTTATGCAGTAAAATATTTTATGGACGAAATGGTCTCTTTTTTAAGTTAGTGATGTACAACAGCCGTTGTCCGTATTCATCTTTATCAGTTGCGCAGCGTGATTTGCCTCCGCGTGCTTTCCCTGCGCATGCGCTCTTATTAGCGTCACTGTTGTAAACAAAAGAATTCATATACTTTTGTCAGCTTTAATTTCACGATTTTCATCGTAGCATTGCTTTTACCTCCTCCTCCCATTTCCTCCACCCAATAACTAGTGTAGATTATTTTCAATGTCTAAATTTTATTCTTCATGTTAATTTTGGCATAATCAAATATTTTACTTGTGACATAATCAAATATTTATTGTTAATGTATGTTTTGTGATTCTAGTCTTATGCAAGTCGTATTTTTATGCCCAGATAAAACATAATAACATTTTATTGTGTACTATTTCTAGTCATAACAAAATCTAAAGGTGCACTGTATAATTTATATACCGGCTTTAATAAAAGCCCAAAGAAGGAAACATATAGTTAAGGAAGGAAAATGTTTTCAGACGGCACGATCAGCATAGCCTTGATAAAAGAGGAATAGCGTTTTGTGGAAACCTCTTGCATTTGTTGATGTTATCTTGAACAGCAAGAGAAATAATTACAATTTGTTTTATCACTCATATGCTACAGTCGCCATATAGTAATGTTTGCAGCGATACAGTACAGTGGTTTGATATGGTGTTCATGAAACACTCTCTTATTTAAGAAATAATATATCCCAAACTGTGATTTTATTGCTAAATAACATCACTGTGTGGAGTTCGGATGCGAGGAATTATATCGCGAGGGCGTAGCCCGAGTGATATGATGATGTGCATCCGAACGACAAACAGTGATGTTATCAAGCAATAAAATCACCGATTTGGATATATTATTTCGATTCTAACACGACATCAACCAGTGGCGTAGCGCGGCCAAAAGTAATTATACGCCTTGGGGGTGGGTTAAGGGAGGGGGTGGCCCCCTCCCTTTTTAAATGGCAGGGGGTTCGGGGGTATTCCCCCGAGAAAATTTGGATTTAAAGATGCAAAATAACGCAATCTGGAGACATTTGAAAACATATTCAATTCCCTTCTTATCTAATAAATAGAGGATATTGAAAGAGTGTAAGTTTAATACTAAATTTATTTAATGAGTTGAATAAAATCATATATTATGTGAGCCTCTGGCGGGTAAAGGGAGGGGGTGTCCCCCTCCCTTTGTAAATGGAAGGGGGTTCTGGGGATTTCCCCCGAGAAAATTTGAATTTATAGATGCAAAATAACGCAATCTGGAGACATTTGACAACATATTTAATTCCCTTCTTATCTAATAAATAGAGGATATTGAAAGAGAGTAAGTTTAATACTAAATTTATTTAATTAGTTGAATAAAATCATGTATTATGTGAGCCTCTGGCGAGTTAAGGGAGGGGGTATCATCCTCCCTTTGTAAATGGAAGGGGGTTCGGGGGACTTCCCCCGAGAAAATTTGGATTTATAGATGCAAAATAACGCAATCTGGAGACATTTGACAACATATTTAATTTCTTTCTTATGTAATAAATAAAGGATATTGAAAGAGTGTAAGTTTAATACTGAATTTATTTAACGAGTTGAATAAAATGATATTATGTGAGCCTCTGGCTAGCATAATAATATTTTATTCAACACGTTCAATAAATTAAGCAATAAACTTACACGCATTTAATATTCTATTTATCACACAGCAAAAACAAAGACCGTTTGAAGTGATAGAGAAACATTTTTCATTGAAGCGCCTATAGAATAACACTAACATTTAGCGCGTCTTAGCGTTATGTTTATGTAACGCAAATGATGTCTTGTCAAAATATAATTATGCCAGTGCAATACCATTTTTACGGAGTCGCAAAATCGGCACGGGTATGTGATATCTATGCAGATATGGTTATTCTCTGAAGACAAATGCAAGGCGGTGTTGTTTTCTTGCAGCAAATTTGTCAACTATGTACTCAGAATAATTTTTCATGTCTCTGTAAATATTCATTAGGCCAAGCCCAGACAGCCGCTCTGTAGTCATGGTAGATCTCTTCATGGTGCTGAATGATCGTTCAGCTGTAGCCGTAGACACTGGCATAGTGAGCAGTACTAACAAACAACGACGGACATTGGGATAGTACTGCTCATTAGCCAGTGGTAATGTTCCTAGAAGTGTATCAGGAGCTTGTGGACGGTCCAACGCAAGTGCTCCATCTGTCCACCATGTAACCAACTTTCTCACTTCCCTGGTAAAGGTAGCTTCGTCCGTACGCCCTAGACAACGTTTAAAAATGACTTTATATTTCAGTTTTATTATAGATCTAGTTAAAAATAAAATAGAATAATATTTGATGTAATTTGAAAGAAAAAAATACATTTGAATATGATTTAATGATAAATTGCATTATTTTACCTACTTTAAATTTCTTGATCTGCATAAACTTACCTCGATTTAAATGCATATTTATGGACATCAGGCCTATCTGACTTTAATAAAGTGACTTTCAACTCATCGTTTAAAATGGTGCAGTTGAAAATATCAACATAAGGAGGCTCATGTTCTTCGGACGTTTTACGTTGGGACGCCATTTGATTTTTCCCGCTAGTATAACTTCTTATGTAAACAACATTCGGAATATAATAGGATTCTACGATAAGAGATACAAACAAGTCAATACGCATGACACTGTCTTATAGTACTAGATCTACCTAGGTACTAGTTTGCAACAAAAATACCGATACACTATTTAAATCGCTTAATAACAAAATATTTTTTGTCAGCAAATCCTTTTTTCTCCATCAAAACTCACGGCGGTGCCTAACACGGGTTAGGGTACTGATTTGGACTACTGTTTTCAACATTTAAGACTTTTTGATTTTTTTTAATTCATTTTCGTTTAGTACGCCTACGGCGTACTGGCGTATGCCCGGCTACGCTACTGTCAACAAATAAATGCTGCCGTACCTGATATTTAGCTAAATTGCGCCTGATTTGTTTCCGTACTTATTGTCAGCGCGTCACATTTTTAGTGGTTACGTCACGTGTATTATGATTACGTCACATGTCTAAATATAGAACGTCAAACAGTGATTTTATAGCATAATAGCACACACTTTCGGTTCTTCTATGTTCAATAGGGAAAAATGCGAGTCGTATAAAGTGGAAAAAGAAAAAGAAATGATGCATAATTTCATTAAGAACACAGAAACAAAGTTCCGACTAAGAAAGGTTCTTTCTGAAACAATGGTTAATAAGAAAACTACAATTAGTGCATAGCCTTGTGAGTATAACTTACAGTTTTTTATTCCCAATGTAGAAATCAGCAGACATTTTCACAAAAAATCTTAATCGTAAGTTAAATCTTAAGTCATTTTCACAAAGCCACTCGTAAGTTAAAATTTTATCTTAAGATAAAAAATTCACTTACGACAAATCTTACGACAAAAACATCCCTAGCAACGTTCATTTGATAGTGATGTGCATGCTCTTTATTTGATTCCGGTTTTAAAATCAAGTAATCAAGAGCTTGAAATATCTATTGAACACAATCAAATTTCATTAAGAACAAAAAAATGATTCAAACTGATATAATT